CCCTTGCCCCCCTGCGCTGCTGAAATGCCCGTGGTATTTTGGGTTGCCCACACACACACACACTGAGCTCTCAGAAAAGAAGAATCTTGGATTGTATACCTGCCGAGGCTGCGGCGAAGCCAACTGCTCCCACGATCAGAAACACGGTCTCCCTTGGGCCAAGATTGGAAAGCAACAATGTCCCAGTTGTGGGTATCACGAATCATTACTGCTGTTCTTCTCGCCACCACCCCAATGACCAAGGCCGCAGCTGGTCCGCGCGACCCGTGAGCGTGCCAAGCTTCCACGTCTGAGAGGTTGGCTCGGCTTCGGGCTGAGGAAACGAAGCGCCGCCAAGGGCTGGGTCAATGAAAGCTGCAATACGACCTAAATGCGTGCATGCCCCAGCGCTGTCGCTAGAGACTTAGAATCCAAGGTGTCAAACATGTGCACAACAGATGGGAGACAGCCGTCACTGCTGGAGATACAGGAGCCCTCAAAGAGAAACATCCTGGTCTTGAGCCGCTTATGCAATGGAGCTAGGCCTCGCCCGAAGCATTGGAAACGGCGGTTGGATCGAACTGATCGGGATTCTCCGAGAAGGCCCTGTCGCAGATGGCGTGGCGCACTTGCCCCTAGGCCTGAAATCCCCTTGCTGAAGCCAACTCCAGCCTCCACTTCTCTACCAAGGCATTGGCGCTTTCTGAGTGGCAGCCGAGCATTCTTTGAAAAGAGCTCTCTGACTCACTGACTCTGGTCACAGATTCAGAGGCTGTGGCCGGACTCTGGCGTACCCTGCAAGGCCCAGTGGCCCAGTACGCGCTTCTTTTCAGTGTGGTTCAGGGGGAATCAAGAGCATGTCAGTTCCACCGCCTCCTCTGCATGCGCCACTGTAGGCAGCAGACTGAGACCGGCCTGATGCAGATGCAGCTTGAAGCTGTGAGGCGCTGTGGGATGCTCTGGGATTCAGGCAAGGCCAGAAGTTCCTCGGCTAAACAGACAGACTCGGAAGCATCTTAAGGAAGCGACGTGCAATGCAAGCTGCAGCTTAGAGTCTCAGATTTTGTCCGGTCTCTGACTGGCGCAGGCCAGGGGCCTCACCGGGCGGAAGCTGTGTCAAACGGACAGCACGGAAGTGCTGAGTTCGAAACTGCAGGAGGAATGAAGCAGGCGACATCTACCAGCTTGGTCGCCTGCTAGCACTTATCCACATGTCCTGGCTTTCCCGGCATGCCCGGAATGTCTGAGTAGGATGCCACGAGCAGGGCGGCTGTCCCGAGCACGACGGCTCCAGGCCTCAGACAGTTCGGAGGTGCAGGATGACACCAGGGGCGAAGAGGATCTCAGGCTCAAGCCGGGCCCGCATACCTGATAAGCTGTAAGAGCTCTCACTGCGCTTTGTACACTTCAGCGAATACTACTTGGGCAGTATAGAATGTGATTCTCGTCCTCATATGTAGCATAGACCCTGCTATGCAGCACTAACAATGGAGATCTCGGCCTTGCGATCTGCTCATGATGTCCTGGGAAACCTTAGACACACGTGCGAGTCACAGCAAAGCAAGATTGCCTCCAACACGGCTCTGGAATGCAGTGCCCAAGCATTCCACGCAGGTGCGACCGATACAAAACCGCCCCCGGCTTGAACCGAAAAGCCAGAGGTGAAGCTGAGTAACTCTACTATTTAGGTCTAGGTTCGCAAAGGCGGGATCCTGCCTTCCCCATCTATAGCAGGGTTCCCTCGCGACTCAAGTGATGCATGTTTTGGATCAGCCAGCACCACGGCGGCTACGGGGCCCACCAAATCGGTCAGACCTGTCAGTCAGAGCACTGGCAGCGGTAGGGTTGGCAGTAATTGTCGTATTCTGGTCGTAGTGGTTGTTTTGACAGCCGTGGTGCTGGTAGTAGTGGTTCTCGTGCAAGGAAAAATCTACGCTGTAATCATCGCTTTGTGATCGCTGACTCTCACGAAGCGACGCAAAGACCCCTCAAACCACACGTAAACCTGCTGCCTTGCCCCGTTTTAGTGGCCATGCTCGGGCTTCTCAAGCTCAGCTGCTAGAATGCTGCTATCATCTATCGTCCATGCTTTTGACCCTGCCTGCGGAAGAAGCCCTGACCCAGCGCAGGTTCAGCAGGCTTGGCGGGCTCAGCAGGATGCACATCGAAGCTCGCGCTGGCCATCGACGGCTCCCTCGGCTTATATTCTTGCTCTCAGGAACCCTGTAGCTACATATATACATGTGTATATATATATATATATATGTGTACACGCATACATAACATACGTACGTAAGGGTATGGGCATGTATGTATGTGTGCATAAAAAGAATCGGACACAATACCGGCAGAATGGGATAGAGAGGCAAGAAGATAGACTATGACTAGGTGAGATTAGACCAGACAAGACAAGACTAGACCAAGTCCGGTGTGCGGCAGTTACACTGAGCATTCCACATACTCACAATCCAACAGTTCCAGAAATTCAAAGTGTCAGCATACAATATGTCCGGATTTTCGCATCTCAACAACATTTACAGAATTCTGGGAATTCCGGATGTCTTCGAACATCGGAAATTATTTCGATTTCTGGACCTATGCTCCAACACCTGGAACTCTGAAGTTCTTGAGTCTTGGGTTGTGAGAATCTGGAATCCTGCCTGCGCATTCATCGGGAAGGCATCGCCGTCACTGTCACTAGTGCTAGAAGCCGTGTTCGACACGAAGAACTTTACTGTATACAAAGCTCCACGGCCCTAAAAATTAAGTTATCGCCCTGCGACCATCTTGGATGTATGCCCACTGGAATCCATACACGTCAACACCCTCCTTATGGGCTGTTTGGGCGCCTTGCAACTCCACTCCCGTAGGTACACTGTCTCCATACAATGTCTCGACTATACACGTTACCCATCAGAACCGGAGCATGCCTATTCTAGTCCCCACCCCCGTCCGCATTACACACCCTCCTCTATCTGAATAGCCTCCAGAAGCGTTGTAAATGCCTGCTATCTTGGATATGATGCCGTTTTGCCCAGTGCGAGTCGCGTCTGTAACATAACTACAAACACCCCACGGCACAAGGTTGACTGCAGAAACTCGTGTTTTGCCTCCCGCCTAGCAAGGACTGGGCCGCATTTGGACTCAGAGAATGAGGGTTTTGGGGCCTATTATACTACAACGATAATAAGGAACCCCTCAAAATAGTACTTATTTACCGCTTTTCTCTCTGTCTCACTTGGGCTCGAAAGCCATGTTGGCCGAGGCTGAAAGAATATTTTAAGGTTTAGGGCCTTAGGGTTTAGCGGGGAGCCAGCGTATCTGTAGGCTGTTGTGGTCACCGTCATCGGGGTTAGACGCCGAAGTAAACATTGACCAAACTTTCCTGTACATTTGCAGAGCACTCACAATGCCGTGCTACTTGTGTGTGTAGTCCTCATACATACATACATACATACA